CTGAAGGCACGGTCAGTTAAGGGGTGGAGAAAAGCATATTTGGTGGGGAGAAGCAGGAGCATATCTTCTCAACAGCTTCCTCCAATGTTTCTAAACCAAGCAGCATCAGGAAGGTAGGATGTGGACTTCAATAACACGTTGCCCTAAAGCCACTAAACTTTAATACTGGGGAGAACTTCAGAGATTGCTAGGTGCAACTCAACTTCAACATATAAATGAGGTCCAGGACTGCTGTATATTCCACTGAAGGCCATACAGAACCAGAACCCTTGTACCTGTAAAAGTGGTCTTCCTCCTGCTCTACCACACCAACTCACAGGGCTCTGGAGTTTTAGATATTGCTTTAACTAGAAGTCCTTCCTTCCTGAATTTTGGTATTGTTTCCCATACTTCCATATGTGTTACTGGGCCTTGTGTTCTTTAACTTAAATAGGATTTTTTTCTCTTACATTAGTTGCTTTTGAACATGATCTGAACATGAAGTACTATTTTTAATTAAAAAAATACCCATTTCTTCTCACTTACAATTATAGTTCCCTTCTCTAATGTTGGCTATTGGGCTCCCAGCTCCCATGCTACCAACCTCATAGGGTGGGTTTTTGTTTTGTTTTGTTTTCGGTTTTTTTTTTTTGTCTTTGAACCACTCAATTACTTTCAGAATCACATTGGGAAAACAAAATAAAACACATGGTTTTAAATGATATTGCTTTTGGAATTTTCTCGAGCCTAAGATCAAGAGAACAGATTTTTGTTAATGTCGAATCAACTGAAGGATGTAAAGATTTGTGAAAGTAAGGGGTTGTATTTGTCTTTTAATGCATACATGTAATTTCAATTAGTTACATTTACCTCGTAAAAATATTAAATTTTGAGGGAGGAGGGTATGTTGGAAAAAGAAAAGGAAGGTAACCATTTTCTCTCCCAAGCAACATCTTTTTGCTTGCTTTCTTTCTCTCTTTCTTTCTTCTCTCTTTCTTTCTCTCTTTCTTTCTTTCTTTCTTTCTTTCTTTTCTTTTCTTTTTCTTCTTTCTTTCTTTCTTAAGTTTATTTATTTATTTTGAGAGAGACAGAGAGCACAAACAGGGGAGGGGCAGAGAGAGATGATAGAGAGCCAATGCAGAGCCAGATGTGGGGCTAGAACTCATGAAACTGTGAGATCATTATCTGAGCCGAAACCAAGAGTCTAATGCCCAACTGACTGAGCTACCCAGGCACCATGCATCCTTTGCTTTCAAAGGTACATTTTCTAAAGAACATTGTTAATACCCAAAGCATGATGCTGATCACAGATAATAAGAAGCACTATCTACAGATCCAGTTGAAGAGAGAAATCCATAAATTCTATCCCATTTTGATAAGCATTTGGACTCAGAAGAACATGCTCAAAATGCCCGTGGAAACTGCCCATGTCGTTCATACATGTTGCTTTCTGGGTCAATATTCTTTTCATTCTCCTGATTCCAGCAGAAGAGGATCTTCTAATCTCTAATCTAATCTTCTAATCTCCCTAATATTTTTTACACGCTTTATAAATCTTTGTTATTTTAAGAAGGGGATTGGCCCAGCCTAGATTATCTGCAGTATATAATTTGCATGAGATTATAGAAATGGTTTAACAGGACCTACTGCTGGGAGGGATGTCTTGAATGGTGACACACACATGACTATCATGCTGCTATGTGTCTGTTTACTGGCGGAATCTGCTACAACTCAGATTTCAGAGAATTTCCTTTTCTGTCAAATGGAACTGAATATATTTCCCCCATTCCAGCTGGGTGGCAAAGAACACAGGCATAGTACACACAAACAGGTGGCAGAAAGAGCTCTTGGAGAGAAACGACTAGATAGCCTGGGGCCCCACAAACACATAGAGAGAAAAGCCCTTGCAGGGTATGTGACCCTACAGCATGCCAGCTGTGCTGCGCACATTCTTAGAAACACAACAGATAAGGACAGTACCTGGAGTCAGTGATGAGTAAGTTGCAGAACCAGATGGAAGTTTTGTAAATGGCAACACAGAGCCTGATACAAGAAGGTGCTAAGTCAGCACCAACTAGCTTAGGATAGGGATGACTTTCACCTAACGCACACCTAGCCAGTCACCTCCTTTGTGAGATGGTGTTAGAATGTCTCTGCACAGCCCTTATAAGGATTATAAACCCTGAGTGGCTAAAGACTGGCAACTCTCCTCTCCCTTTCTCCCCACTGCCTTTCTCCTATGGGCATCTGTCTGCTGCTGGGCTCTGATAGGATGGTGGTGGATGCAGCCATGGGACTGGAGGGCTAGTGGGATTCCACCCTGAGAAGGGAGCAAACCCCTAGTCTGAGGACAGAAGAGACACAGAAGGACATTGGTTCCCCCTGTCACCCCCTCACTAAAATCTAAAAACAACTGAACAGCCTGCTTGGGAGCAGGAGCTATTTTGGGGCAGAGTTTTTGGGAAAATTAGATGTAGGAGATGTGGGGCAACTGTTGGTGAGTGTGAGCTATAAGTGGAAGAGATAAGGAAACCAGTTTTCCCTTCAACTGGGCCCTGCTGAGTGGATTCTTCTTTCACTCTTTGGATGACTCCAAGGAAGATTTAAACTACTTGGCAATTGTTTTATTTTTTATTTTATTTTTTTAAATGTTTATTTCTGAGACAGAGAGAGACAGAGCATGGGTGGGGGAGGGGAAGAGGGAGAGGGAGACACAGAATCCGAAGCAGGCTCCAGGCTCTGAGCTGTCAGCACAGAGCCTGACACGGGGGCTCGAACACACAAACCATGAGATCATGACCTGAGCCGAAGTCGGTCGCTCAACTGACTGAGCCACCCAGGCGCCCCATTGGCAATTGTTTTAAACATCAGACTGGTATTTCCTCAATGGCAACCTTGTGAAGCTTTAGGTCAAAAGGTGGCTGAATTTTATAGGGTTCAACATAAAGTTAAACTTCCATTAAAAATGTAATAAACTAGGGGCGCCTGGGTGGCGCAGTCGGTTAAGCGTCGACTTCAGCCAGGTCACGATCTCGTGGTCCGTGAGTTCGAGCCCCGCGTCAGGCTCTGGGCTGATGGCTCAGAGCCTGGAGCCTGTTTCCGATTCTGTGTCTCCCTCTCTCTCTGCCCCTCCCCCGTTCATGCTCTGTCTCTCTCTGTCCCAAAAATAAATAAACATTGAAAAAAAAATTAAAAAAAAAATGTAATAAACTATATCCATTTCTCATTCATAATGTATTCCTTTGTTGTTGTCATAAAAGCTTTAATTTAGAGAAATCTCCAGGTGTTTTTGTACTGGATTGGTGGAGGCCAGTTAAATTTTGTTTTCTCACTTTCAGTGTTGACAGTGGGGAGATAGGTAAGAGTCTTTTTTCCAGAAAGCTGCTTCAGCTTGGCTATCTCTGGATGTGTTCCAGGTGACAAAAATAATAGCAAGTGCAGCTGAAGAAAGAGAGGCTAAGCCTGGTGCTCAGGGGGCCCCAGACCACCGGGAGTATGGGGCCCATAGAAAGGGAGCCCCTGATTGACCTTTGAAACAATGCATGCCATGTCTCCCCATGGAGAGGGCTTCTCTGATTCTTAGTCATTTCTCCATCCCATCGCTATTCTCTCAAAGTGACAAAGACTACAGAGAGCAACATTCTTGCAGGTAGAATGAAAAAAAAAATCATAAAGTTTGGGCATTGGGGACCAGGAGGACCCCTGCTCACCAAATTACTCTCTGGTATAGTGTTCCATGATGACAGATCCCACCATTTCACATTAATGTGGGTCCCTGGTCAAGTTTCTTAACCTGTCTATGTAACCCTTAGATCCCTCAACTGTGAAATGCAGAAATTAATGCCAGCTCCCTCACAAAGAGATGAAATGAGAAAAATCTCTACATAACACTCAGGGTAGTGATTTGCATACAGTGAATGTCTCATGAAGGTTACTTCTTGCTCTCCCTATCACTGATACTGTTAACATTATTACACTAACCTCATTTTTCATGTGATTAAACTTGAAAACATACACCTAAACTTGAAAATGCATCCCCTTTGCTTTCCCTATATTCACAGATGATTCCTACATTATTATCAATGCCCTTTCCTGAAGATTGGTTATCATTTCCTGTTTTTTCTCTACCTCTTTCATTACACCAATCTTGTAAATCCTTTAGGATTTGGGCCCCTGGCCTGACACCCCAAAAGGAAGAGGCTATTGACTAATTCTATGAATTATTTCTTCAATGAATCTGTAGCTCTGTGTTGAGAGTTGTCTGTGGCACATCTTTCTTGTATTATCATTATTTGTACATTTGTCTAATCTGCCCTATTTGATTTTAATTGGTTGCAGAGACAGGTCAAACCCCATTTACCTTTGAAACATCTGTAGCATATATTCCTGATTAGGTAGTAAGTATTTAGTAAGTATTTGTAGATGAATGAGTGAAGACAATAAGGTAATAATCAAATAATTTATTTATGATATATAATGTCCTCCATTAAATAAAAAAATGTGGTGCTAACCTATGAATGGCTGCCCCCAGGCTCTGAGTAAACACCCAATCACACATAGCAAATTGGGTTTGTGTGTCACTCAGATTTGCCATACATTGTTTCTACCTTCAAATCCAGAGCATTGAAGCCAGGGTGATTCCAGGACCTTGAGACTTGCCTATTAATTTTAGCCATTACCTTTATGGATATTAATTTCTGAGAGTAAATAATCAAGTAAACTTTCTTGTCCCTTGAATGAGAAATAGTCAGTGATGCGTTTATGTCTTATCCACTAGAGGTCAACTCTACAGCCCCTGCAATGAGAATATTCCCTCCTTGCGAACACTGATAAAATTCAATTTGCATTACATCCCCCTGCATAGTGGACTCTATGTCAGTGGTAGGTTTCTTGTATGTTACTCATGTTCTAGAAGCAATTCCTAATAATTCTCGTTTCAACATCTTGGGAGCAAGCCCCATCTCTTGTTCTTTCCTTACATAGATATGTTGAAATGTTTAAAGGTACTCAAACATACATACCCACTAATGGAGTCCAGAAACCCAGTAGCACCAGAGATTTGGGGCCAGTTGAGCTCATTGGTAAGAGCTGTTGGTAAATTGATGAAGGATTTCTAAAGAAAACATAAAGTGGTGATTATAAAAATGGTCATTTGTTTTTTACAGGTAGTAACATTATCCATTGCCTAGGCGGTGTTCTCTGTCTTTCTCACTCTCTTTTTCTTAATCTATTTCTTTAAGAGGCTTTGGTATATAAAGCGTATGCCACTCTATCATCAGGGACTTCACAAAGATCAGCATCACTCATGAACTGGCTTCCATTCAGCTTCTGTGAAAGATGCGAAATGCGTGGCAGCTTATACTCATCCCTCATTTGAAAAGGATGCTTCAGTAGATGGGTAAACTTTCCACTCTTAAATTTGCTGAGATTTTCTCCATATTTATTTTAGATATTCAGGAAATCAACTGCCCAAACAATAATAATACCCAAGCCCCCAGCAAGAATGCCTTCCCTGAGTTCAAAGCCATGTCCTCAGTCAATAAGATAGTGTCTCCTGACCTCCTTGGGAGTCTCAGGCACCTTTGGGAATCTAATTTTGGTTTCTTTCCTCACAAAGATGCACATATATTCAACACGGCCTATGATTTCAAGGGGTTCACATACCCCCTGTATCTCTTACACAGTCTCGGGCTCAAGAACTCCTGACACAGAGTGTTGACAAAACCAGGATTGATTTGAACCATGTTTCTATGGCTTGTGCAAAATCATAGAGAAAAAACATTGCCAGCTATGTCCCCTTATTATTCCTTTTATAAATGCCCTCTGGGATAAACCTCTACTCTGGTCTAATTTCTAGAAAAAGCTTATCTAGACTGATGTTTTCAGAATAGGGTTGCCAAATTTAGCAAATAAAAATAGAGGATGCCCAGTTAAATTTGAGTTTCAATACACAAAACGTATGGGGTGCCGTTGGTTAAGCATCTGACTTCAATTCAATTCATGATCTCACGGTTCATGGATTCTGAGCCCCATGTAGGGCTCTGTGCTGAAAGCTCAGAGCCTGGAGCCTGCTTCAGATTCTGTGTTGTCCCCTCTCTCTTTCTGCCATTCCCCTGCTCTGTCTCTCTGTCTCAAAAATAAATAGTCTTAAAAACAAAACCGGGGCGCCTGAGTGGCTCAGTCGGTTAAGCGTCCGACTTCAGCTCAGGTCACGATCCTGCGGTTTGTGAGTTTGAGCCCCGCGTGGGGCTCTGTGCTGACAGCGCGGAGCCTGGAGCCTGCTTCAGATTCTGTGTCTCCCTCTCTCTCTGCCCCTCCCCTGTTCACTCTCTGTCTCTTAATAATAAATTAACATTAAAAAAATTAAAACAAGCAAAAAAACCCCACAAAAAAACCCCCAAAATGTGGTGTCTATATACAATGGAATATTATTCAGTCTTCAAGAAGAAGGAGATTTCTGACCCATGCTTAAAGATGGGTGAAACTTAAGGACATTATGCTAAGTGAAATAAACCAGTTTCATAAAAAGATAAATACTGTATAATTCCACTTATAGAAGATATTTAGAGCTGTCAAATTCATAGACACAGAAAGTAGAAAGGTGGTTGCCAGGGGCTGGGAGTGGATGTAGAATGAGGAGCTGCCATTTAATGGGTACAGAGTTGTAGTTTTGCAAGATGAAAAAGTGTCGGAGATTGGTTGCACAGCAATGTGATATACTTAACACTACTGAACTGTACAGTTAAAGGTGGGTAAGATTATAAATTTTATGTTGCAAGTATTTTATCACAATTTAAAAAAATTAGTACACAAAAGATTGAATTTCAGGTAAACAAAGAATAATTTTTGGCATAAGTGTGTCCTGTGCAATGTTTGGAACATGTTTACACTTAAAAAGTTGTTTGTTATGCATCTGAAGTTCAAATTTAACTGGGTGTCCTGTATTTTACCAGGGAATCTCAGTTTGGATACACACTCTGAAATCCAATGCTTCCTTTTTGCCCTGGCTGACAGGAAGCCTCAATGCCTGGTTGCAGGAAGCAGTTTATCTCAGGTACGTAGTGTCTTCTCCTCCATGTGCCCTTGGGCTTCTCAACATTGAAAACCTATGCCTCCTTTGGATAAACATGAAAACCTTGGGTCTTCCTTTAATGCTTATTTTAAAATGAAAAATAAACTAAGGATAATGTCTAAAGGCAAATCCTATCAAAGCAATTGTGGCACAGAATACAAGTTTTCAAATTGCATATGGCCCTTCCCCTGTTTGCTTCCTTAGTTATGATGTTACTTATGATGATCCTTATCCTGTCTCCTAAAGAGAGCCTAAATGTGGAGGCTATGAGGGAAGGAAAAGCCACACTTCTCTCTCATTAACCACTTGAAAATGTATCATTATTATTTTTTCTTATTACAAAGTATACTTACTTGTTATAGAACTCAAATATATAATAATTTACAATATAGAAAGTCTCTCATCACTTTCCCTTAAGAGATAATCATTGTGAGGTAACCACTGTTAACACCTTGTGAGCTACCTATCGACATCTATATCATATCTGTATCTATGCCTATATCTATCTATATCTATATCATCTATATCTATATCTATATCTATATCTATATCTATACCTAAAGCTATCTATAGATGAACATTATATATGTGTTCAGAATAGGGTTGCCAATGGTTATGAATCTACCATCATTCTTTAAACTTGGAAAAACTCAAAACTCAAGTAGTTTTCCTAGTGTCAGGGTGTGATGGTTCCTACCATCATATAGAGAATGAGTACTCAAAATAAAATAAAATTTATTTCTCAACTGTGGACTGTAATGGGTTGAATTGTGTCCTCCAAAAAGGCATGTGAAAGGCCTAACCCTCGACATTTCAGAATGTGACCTTATTTGTAATAGGGGGCCATTGCAGATGCAATTAGTTAAGATGAGGTCATACTGAAATAGGATGTGTCCCTAATGCACTATGACTGGTCTCTTCACAAGAAGAAGAAGAAGAGACACAGAGACACAGGGGCAAGACCATGTAATGATGGAGGCAGAAACTGGAGTCAAAGAACAAGTCAAGGAGCACCAAGGATCGCCAGTGATCACTGGAAGCTAGAAGAGAGGCATGGAACAGATTCTCAGATCTGTCAGAAGGAAACATCCTGCTGACACCTTGATCTCAGATTTTCAGCCTCCAGAACTGTGTGAACATTAAAGGCATTCAGTGTGTGATACTTTGTTGCAGTGGTCCAAGGAAACTATGGCATGGTCTGAACTGGACAATTTGCTTGCAGTTCTTATCATTCTTATTCAGAGGTCCAAGATACGACCTTCTACTGTGTTCATTTACTTCTCAAAATAAGTCATGTAACAAACAAATAAGTTCACACATAGCAGTTGTCCTGTGGTGCCTTGCCCTGTTTTCCTTGGCTCTGTGAGCTTTCTCCTTCCACATGTCAATCCCAAGGACCCCATCCTTATTCTTATCCCAAGGGTGATTTTCAGCACAGTGGGGGCAGGAAGTGGAAGAGAGGTGACTGGAAAGGATGGCTTCTTGGGATTAACTATGCTGGTTAGCAACAAAATAATGTATTATCATTAATAATTATAATAATTATGTATTAATAAAATAATAATAATGTGCAATTATGGTTTATCTCTATCTAAGGAGCAGAAACAGGCGATGGAAAAGAGGCTCCTGATGAATCTTGAAGCACCATGCAGTTCCAGTGACTGGCACTTTGTCACCCCTTAGCAGGAGGCACCCGCCACTTTCTGCTTAAAACTCCACCATTATTGTGAGTCAGATACTCTCTGTTTTGGTTTCTGTTCCTCCTGCCACTATAAATCAAGTGTCTTCTCTGTTTTTTTTTTTTTTTAATCTTATTTTTTCCCTAGGTCTTTCTGTTTACAATGTGTGTTTGCTGTAGGATTTGAGAATATTCAATTCTTCCAGAGAAGACAAGAAAAGTAAACAGAATGGATGAAACTCATAAGACTTGTTAGGCAGAGATAGTGAATAAGCAGGTGGCTTGTGATATGTAGACAGAATACGTGAGCTGTGTTAAGTGAGTCAGTAGCCTATAGAGCATATTGAGAGTTAAAGGAACAATACAACACTCCCCAATACCACACTCTCTCTCTCTCTCTCTCTCTCTCTCCTTTTTCTCAGTCCTCTGCATCATGACAACCCCAGATTTGGGGAACTGGGCACGGAACTAGGCTTCTGATTTGGGATGGGCCTGCTCTCTCTTTCATAGGGAGTTAGACAGGAACCCTGCTGGCAGGGAGGTGTGCCTGATGCTCTCTGCAGCCTGGAGCAGTAACGGAGGGGATGGCAGTTCTGAAGCGTGCCAGCCAAGTTGGGAAAGGCTTTACTCTAAAAATGCAGAAGCTCTACTTCTGTGTCTGGCTCTACAAAGACAGTGAAACTCCACGGTTTGGATATGACACATTGGAAATGGGTTCCATAGTCTATCCAGCCCCATTCTCAGTCAGGGGTGGGTGATAAAGTGTTTATCTTCCCAGTGGGGGGGGGGGGCGGAGAGCAGATGTTGAGAGAGAGTTAGGACAGAGGAGAAAATGGCCGGCAGCCTTGTCTTGGGTAGTGGGGTCTCTCAATTCAGTCTCTCTGGATCAATCCCTTCATCTCAAATATCTGGGAGAATCCTGGACTTCTTGCTGCTCTTGAAAAAAGCCCCAACCAGTCCTGGAATCATCCCCACCAGGATTTAAGCTGGAGCAGATGGCAGCTGATGCTGAATCACAGTGGGGACCAGGGTGGCTTTGTATCTCACAGCCGAAGTCCTGGAAAGCCCAGGAAGGTCAGCTGCATAGGTTTGTCCTGGTCACTCAATTAACCTTGAAATAGCATGCATTTGTGCTTTCCTGGTTAAATGTTTCAGACTTCATTTATGGTGTTCTGGTGAAGTTTTACTATTCTTGGCTGTGCAAAACCAGGGGCTTTACCTTTGTGTCAGTTTTGGTATCTCCGATGGCTGTAGAATATTACTCTCTTTAACAGGAATGTTGGGAGGGTCAAAGGACAGTGAGGGGAGCAGCTTGACAAGTAGAAGCCCCACACTGTGTAAAGAATCATGTTTGGGTGGATTA